TTCTTAAAATGCTAACGTTAGGTAAGAAAAACAAGAACCTGATAAATCCATTATATGGCAATAAAAAGGAGAGGGGGAGGAAGAAAATAATTAATTACCTCATTATTCTATCACCTATCGCTGTTCCTCTGATATTATATCTAGTAAAGGGAACAACAACTAAAGTCATTCAAAAATGCTGGGTATCATGTTTTCAAAAGGTTAGCATCTATTACAGAATGTGCTCTGCATACGCCAACTGAGAAGACTCCTTCTCCTCAATGTGTTAGTATATGACACTACTCGGATTTCAGCAAAAATAGTATTCAGATTACATAACAGTACAGAAAGTTGATCTTACAAAATGCAGTAATTTTTCACAGACCATAGCAGAAGTGGAAGCAGCTGCATAATCATTTCCATTTTACATTCAGAGTTGAAATTTTAACCTACTGGTAGCTTAACTTTTTCCAGGCTTAGCGTCTGCTCATAGATCAGCTACTGTCAAAGTCCAAATAAAATTAATGCAGTCATTTAAGTAGGAAAGCAGCCCTCAGAGAGTTGTTCTAATTTGTGAATATTAAGATCAATCCATTAAAAACTGCACTCTCTGTACACAAAGAACGTATATTTTACATACATTTTTTCCACCCCCAGATTTCAAAGTATGGTGCTAAGGCAAGCCATATTAGCTACCTCTGTTCCACTATATTTCCTGGACTTCTTTAAAGAAGATATGCTTTATGCTTATTTTGAGACTTAAAAACCTGCATACCTCCTCGTATTTGTAACAGAAGGGATCTTTTCCTGTGGATTCCATGAAACGCCCAAGTTATTTTCTCTGTTGAGTGTCCAGCTAAACTGCTCTGCTGTGCAGAACAGGTTTCATTATTTAAAATTTAGAACTATTCTGTGCAGTTCCTTATACATTTTGTTAAAAGAGCATATATTGACTAGCCCAATGACAATTAAAAAAATTAAATAACAAGCTTCTTTTAGTCATGGATCTTCACCATCCCTACAGTGATGCTCAGTGGCTACAGAAATGCTACAGAAAAAAATTCAGATGTCACATTTTCAATTATTTCTTTCAAAGAAATGTCCTTCTGTGTCAAAAGTCTTCCTAGCTGATTCCTAGTTGATTTTCAGCTGATTCGGCCAACTTATCAACCAAAAGACTGTGGTATTTCTACATATTCTGCTGCTACTATTCTCAGTCCTTTTCAAAATATTAAAGAGGGTGAAACTTCTGTGTTTCTGTATGTGTTGCATAGGCCTTCCTAACAGTTCAATTCCAGGTTAGCTGGTGAGAAATTATTTATCCTCAATGTGTTTTGAGATTTATAAGCATCCAGAGATTGTCCCTTGTATCTATTCTTAGATTATTTAAGAGACAGAAAAAGACAGAGTCTTCAGCCTGAAAACATTAAAAGTTGGACTTACACCCAGATAAAATTCAAATAATGGAAGCTCTGTAAACATTACATTTGCAAAATGGGCATTTTATTCATAAATCAGAAATCTACACCCAACTTACTAAAACTAAAGTTTTAGTTGATGCAGCAGAGTTGATGCAGCAGGAAGTTCCCCATTTGTTTAACTGCAGGTAATATCAACTGAGCTACCAAAAGGGTATTTCTGCCACTTCTTTTCCTGAAGAGGAGACTTTTCATGATTCCAGAGTACAGAATCAGAAGTCTACCCCTCCCTTCTCAGTGGAGAAAGCTGTACTTTACAGTGGGAAAATGACTCTGAGAGTTTCCTTTATCTTCATTTCCCCTACTGCAGAGTTTCTCCTCAGTATAAACAATAGCAAGTTATTAGGTACATAAAAAAGACAACCTAAAAAAACCTAAAATTGGTTGTAGATAAAACTAGTAATGCTATATACCAGAAAAGGCTTACTAGTCAAACAGCTTTTAGCATTCTGTTTCAAAAAGCTACAGCCTCTTTTGGTTGGGTTTTTTTTTGTCCTAAAGAAAAATTAAAATTAAACTTTATTTTTGCCACTGCATACAATAGGTTTACAAAAGGTAGATTATTGCAGGGTAGCCTTAAAACTTTCTCCAGAAAATAAAGAAAAAACCCTAACAAACAAACAAGCCCCAAAGCAACTCCCTACTAGATTATCTAACGAGAGAAAAAATCTACTTCAATACTTCTATATTAATGCCATTAATTATCTTATAAGATGACACATTGGGAATTACATTATTAGATAAACTTGAGAAAATGAGATTTAGTAAAGGAATGGTTAGGTAACACATTTTTCTAAGTGAGAAAAGAGAAAACTTAAGCCTATAGGAAGCATCCTGGTGGAGTTCAGCACCAGTCTTGCAGGCTATTTTGTTTAATACATTGCTAACAGCCTTTGAACAAATGTAGGAATGTACTCATGCAGTGCATTGAGGACTTGAGGCTGGGTAACTTTATGAATATAGAGGGGACGGTAAGACCTTGAGAAAAAAGAGGTGGGTAGAAATTCAGTTGTGTAAAACTGACAGTCACACTTCTGAGCTTCCTTCTGGCAAAAAATAAGAACATACCAATTAGAAATTACAAAGTAGGAAAGCCTTCAGTATTCTAACTGACCTTGTGTCTGACCACAAGCCACCACTATGAGACATGCCATAAGCGAGAGAGGAGAAGGATATAACTACGCCTCACTTGTGTCTCACAGAAACTTCTCTAGACCAAGAGTAATACTCGTCCCATTAATCCTAGCAAAATCACTACAGTGTGCATAATTCTGGTCTACCATAATCAGGAAAGCAGTGGAACATGGAGGAGCACAGACAGGAACCAGCATGATGACAGGAAAACCACATATTTTTACTGCTAAGAGTGAGAAAAAGTCTAGTGAGACAAGAGCTGAAAATGGACAGAAGGAACATCATTCAAATGATAGGCACTGGGCACGAACAAAATTATTTAAATCAAACCCGTATGTTAGCACAAAACAAAATGACTAATTGTAGTCAATTTACACCCACGGTAGCAGCAATATTTTGAGCTGGCTTCCCACTTGTTAAGGGGCCAGGGGGATCTGATACAAATTTGATCGGTCTATGAAAGGGGATTATATGCTATAACAACTGTCGTAGTAGTAAGGAGGCCTTCTAGTACCATTCACCCTATTTCATATGCGATACAATTACTAAGAGGCCTTACAGCCAGCCTTTAAGACCACCAGTGCCTGCTTTCTCTCCAGAAATCCAAATTCCTTTGAGCACACATAGGATGTCTTACTTTCTTCAGTATCTCAGAGGGCATCTAGAAACTCCCGAAACCAGAACAGGAGGGAATGTGATGTAAACGTGTATCTGACTGCTCAGAGGCCAAACTAGAAACCTTCACTGCTTGCACACACACAAAAGCAGAACAAAACGAACCAGTCAGGCACTAAACCTGAGCAATGAAAGCCTGGAGGCAATCCTAAACTTCTGTCAGATTTTACTTGGGGAAAGAATAAGGGAGCACGGGGCTGCATAAAGAATTTTATTTATATCATTAATTTAGTTGAATAATCTTTCCTGTATAATTAATTTGAACTGCAACAGGAAGAAGTCTCGCTGCACACAAAGAAGGAATAAAAGCATGTGAGATGAAGTATAACTTAATTTAAGACGTCCCCACTAGTGGGAAATTGTAACAGCTATGTGATACCTGGAAGTGCCATTCTCGTTACAAAACCTACTAGATCGCAGAGGCAACATAAAGTGCATGAAGAGAAGCTGAGAATCCTGCTCAAAACTAGAAATGGGATTAAAATTGCAGGGCTTCTCACAGCTTGCTCTTCAATCTCTAGGTTGTAATGAACATTAACCTTTGCAGCGGAAACTATTTCTGCCCTTAGATATTTATCTGCAATTACTTAGTATCGCAGGAAAGTTAATGGATTAAGACTGAATCTGTATTTATTTATTCTTTCTGTAAAAGCTGTAATTCAGTGAGCAGAACTACTTGTGCTATGTAATCACCAACCACCGACTGTTCTTTTTGTCCCTACTGACAGTGTGGTGGCTTGTGATTTTTTTTTTTTTTAAACTGTAAATTTTTCAGAACCTTTTCTGCACACAACTAGTAAATTCCTTTGCTTTCTTAATGAATACTATTATAATGCTTCCTGTAAAGAATTTGCATTGCTAGCGTAAGAAATTAATAGCAAGATAACGCTGTCTTTGAACAGGATAGGAATAAAGCCAAGGCATCTGACAGTAGGTTACACAACACCTAAAATAAGTAAAAAAGGTATTTTCTTAAGTCTAACAATAGAGATGTTGTTTAAGTAATTATTATAGCTTTTAAAAATCCAAGAATTGAAATTAGTGAACAAAGGTATTAAACCAGCAATACCAAACCAGGGGCTAAGTTTACTGAATGATCAAACAAGTATGTACAGCTGTTTATATTTTACAAGAAAAAAGTATTAAAAAGCTTACTAATTGCATCTTTTATTAATGACAACAACTAGGAATCTACCTTTATTTTTTTTACTGCTGTACATACTGATATTCAATAGACAAAAGGAAAAGGATTAGAGTTTCTCCTTCAGATAAAAAGAAGGATGAAAAACTGAATACACCAGTCTTAATGTATGTACTACAGACAAACACAGCATTGCTGAACAATAGTTAAAAGCTCTTGCTTTGCCAAAGTAAGAACACCTAATATAAGAGTTGAACGAAAATGTAGGTCCCTGTATACAAACCTATGAACTTTCTACACTTACAGGGAGAATAATAAAAAAATCAATTGCAAATATTTAGCACCGTGTATTCAGCAGGCAAGGAATAAATACAAGCAGGTATTAGATCTGTAGGATCTTGCCTGGCTAGGAGGGAAAATACAGCCATAGATACCGTACATATAGGCAAATTAGGCTCAGCCATCAAGCTCTTGGCTAGTTGTCAAAGAACAACTTATTTTAATTAAGGATATGAGGCATGAGCTTCTAGATCTTCCATTCAAAACCAAAAAGCATTTTGCCAAGCAATAGAAGGGATAAGTATTCCCCTAACCTGTGTCCTGGTCCTCCTCGATACCTTGCCCCTGGGATCAGAACAGGATCATCATCACTATCATCAGTTTCTTGGAGAGCCGAGGTCCTGGTAGAGGACTCGTCTGGAGTTCCAAGCCCTGAGGATTCTGGGTGCGGCTGAGGTTCATCGTTTGCAGCAAGCGAGTTGGCAGTGGATTCAGTACTTTGACTTGAAATTTCTTGATTCGCACTTTTGTCACGGGAGGCTTCTTCCTCTACGTTTCCAGAGACAGCATCAACACTGGGGCTGTCTTCTTCTGGTTGGATTCTGGAACGCTCAGGACCAGGTTTATCTGACACACCTAACAGAAAATTTTGGGGAAAGCAAGTCACAGCATCCATGATTATAGCCTATTTTAGAAGATGAACTAAATGGTCACAGAAGTTAAATTATGCATACTGAGTTTATATTGGAAGTTTAATTTTTCATTCTCTTCTTCATATAATTCTATTTGAAAGAGTACAGATACATACTTGCTCCTGTCGTCTCCACAGTTTCATCTGCAGTTTTCAGCTCTTCAGCACTTGCATCTTCCTTGTGAGATTCATCAGAAACTCCTGAATTAAACAACTTCATATTAAATCACGATTTCATTTAGATGCACATGTACAGTGTAAGCAAACCTAAATGATACTAGCACTCCTAGATCAAGCCAACCAAAGCAATCTCCTCCAAAGTCGACACGTTACTTTACTGAAATCTCCGATATTAATCACATAAAAATCAGCACATATAAAACTATCTAGTTGCCCAGGTCAATACATTAACAAAAAGTGTTTCTTCTTGGTCCTTAATATAATTAATAACCTATGTTACGAGAACTTTAGCTTCAAGATTATTTATGCTATTTTTGCATCAGATGATCACTTACTGAAAGCCATTATTTCCAAAGACAGAAATTAAGCTATCCCTCTATTAAAAGGGATTAAAAAAAAAACCAAAACCAAAACAAACCCCCAACATTTATCCGGAATCAGTCATTTTACTTGACTACTCTTCTGGCAAAGAATTGAGCAAGACAACCACATGTAACAAAATACAGTGAAACCTTGAAAGCAATGTAACAAAATACCTAGCACTCACTTATGACTGTAAAGTACATTTGTTCTATTTTTCGATACAAATTAGGGCAGCAATCATTAAGAAAAAGAAAATAAAGAGTTTTAGTCTGAAGACAGGATACATTTATATTGTTCATATTTATTTGCAACTATTTCAGGTTGGTAATGTTTTCTTTCCTAAAAACCAAAAAGCATGTTCCCTTCTGGCCGTTTTCTGCCTTCATATGCACGTGTAGGAGACTCCCACCGTGTTCAACGGCAGTCACGAACATACAAGAGCAGAACTGCACCTTAACATTACATAAATAACGCTGTGTCTTACTTGTTTCTTCATCTTCAGGTCCTGACTCTTCCGAGGCTTTTACAGAGTCATCTTGGCCTTCAGTTTTGCAATGACTTCCACTCCCTCTAGAGCTTGAATTTGTGCTGCTCCTGGCAACATAACATGTAAAAAAAAAAATTAGAAATAACATTAAGAGATAAGATCATTGCAATAGCACAGCCTGACCATCACTTTCTTTCTCACTGCAATCGCAGAAATCAACAGCTCCCGGCAGCAGCTACAACTAACAACCTCCACAGCAATCTCCAAATTCTATTCTATGTCCGTCACCACTCACCCCACACCACTCCCCTGCATCACAGAACCCTGTTCGCTCCTTCCTATCTGGTTTTGGGGGGTTTTTTTTGAACCTTTGAATGATTTCTTCATTGCTTTTCAAAATATTGTGAGAACTCAAAAGGATTTGCTCTCTTTCACTATTTACACTTTTTTTTACATGCATAAATGATCAGAGATGTTATTAAAGGTCTTAGAAGTGGTCAGCTGAGCACTAACACAAAATCTTATACCATCCAGTTAAAAAGATGATCCAGGTAAAATTCTCCAGCTTCTTCATCATTAACTATCATTCCTGTAGCTTTTGAGGCACGGACTTCTGATGGCAGCTTTCAGCCCTCAAAGTTTTGTTATTTCTCAAGATTTACTATAAGCTGGTACTTGAGATTTACTCCCCATTAAGTTCAGATAATTCATAGAATCACAGAATGGTTAGGGTTGGAAAGGACCTTAAAGATCATCTAGCTCCAACCCCCAATTGTTGTGAAACACTAATTTCTGTTTACAATAAGGAAAATTATTCCTCAGGAAATATGTAACACTGCTGTTCTGAATGTCACAAATGGTTTTAGACTCTCTAGTGAAAACTTACTTTCAGGAAATCAAAGCCTTGCTCCTGAGCTCTCCCATTCTCTCCTGTCGCAGATCTATGCTGCAGCCTCAAACTTAGGCAAATTTAAGTTTTAGTGGTTTTTACATTGGGTCTTTACACCCCCAATTACAGATTTTTGTAACACGTATTTTTCCTGTCCCTCATATCCATTTCCCTGTACACTCTACTTAATACTCTTCTTGAGGTAGTTGTTCATGCAAAATTTCCATCTTCAGAATCACTTATATCATCAACTGTTCGACACGTAAAATGCATTTTTCAAATTTTGCTTTAAAATAAACACAGAAACAGAGTTCATGTGGTTTAATAAAATTTGCTTTCTGTGCTACAGTGGTAGCATTTTATTATAGGTAATATTTTATTATTAAATAAAAAATATTCTAAAATATTAGAATGGGCAAAATATTTGCTAATGCTCTGTGAAATTTGCCTGTCCTAAAACACTAAACAAAGACGACTACAAAACTAAATACAGAATTAGTTAAAAGCATTACAGCAAAACTAATTCTTCCAAAGCCTGCTGGATTTGGACTCTAAGTAGAAATACAGTCTGATAGATTGTTTGAACACAACTGTCACAGCCTTTCAGATTCACAGGGGCAAAATCTTCATTCTTGTGAAAACACACAGATCACTGTTTAAAGTTTCCAAACTGCCGTGGGCAAGATGTACGTTCTACGTCTAAAGCCACAGCACTTAATGCTAAATGTGGTGGGGTTTTTTTTCCTCTCCAGTAACAAATGGCAGCTAGCGTTTCTACTTACTGTCTTCTACAATGATTTTGAAAACATAAACAAGGAAATAGAAGTAAGAGGAAATAAAGTAAGGATTGTAGGTTTTTGGGTGAGATCCTTAGATGCTCTAGTGATAGACTGTGATTCAAAACCAAGTAAACCAGGCCAGTTAGACAGCAGGAGTTTATTATCTGAAAAGGATGTCATCACTGTATATCTAAAGCAGTCCACAAAATTGATAAGTTAACCATGTGCATTCATGAACACTCCTCATACACAGAAATACTAATTTCACTATTTTGTAATGCGGGAACTGTGCCACAGAAAGACTAATTTGCAGGATACCCTGTGAGAAGTCTGGTAGAGCAGAGAATTAAAACTTAAACATTAGCCCCTGGACCACCCTTCCATCACTGTACTACCCTGCATTAGTAAGAGAGTGATATGCTAGGGTTTGATGAAGATAGCATGTTTCAAATTATGTTAGCATTAAAGAGATTCACAGTAAATACCACAAAACGTCTTGCACAAATTTCACGTTGAAGTATGACTGTCTTTTGCATTCTGAATGCATTAAGGACTACAGCCATTTCCAACTGTCTATGTACACCTAAAACCAGACATACACCATACTGAAAAATAATTTATCTGTATCTATGCTAGACGTGTTAGTGATATGTGCTGACCAATAACCAGGCAAAAATAAACTGCTTACCACTCATCAGTGAAGTCCAGTTTTATTGTGCTTGTAGTTGTTCCTTCTGTACTGTAGTGCAAACTTAAAACTGGTTCACCTGTTCCTGTGCGTGGCTTATCACTCTCTGTAAACATGGGGTTGATAAAGTTTGGATAGGCATCAGTAATGCACATGAAGCTGTTACAATTCTGAAGATTCATTTAATTATCCTAACAAAAGGTAAATGTGGTAGTAACATGTAAAATGTCTACTTAAGATCTCTTACAGCCCAAGCAAAAGGTTCAGAAGTTTCAGAGTAAACACACCAAATCTGCAGTGCTTTAAAAATGGCCTGAAATTACTTCTATTTGAAAGAGCAACCAAAGAAGATGCTGTCCTTCAACATACAGGTAAATAAAACTGAAGATAGGTATGTGTACAAACAATATTACCCTTTATAAGCAGATCCCTTTTCTGTCAAGTATATCCATAATAAGAATATAAAATGTTTTTTGAAGGTGTTCGGTCTTTTTTTCCTCAGAAAATACACATGAGAAAAGATCATGAGATCTAGACACAATCAGTGGTTTAGAAAAATCACCTCCCCTTTCCTTTTTTCCTACTTGGAACCCAGTCAACTGCCAACGTCCTTAGAGCTGCTGTGAGCTGTCAGCTAGTTGTCATAAAAACACTGTAAATTCATGTTCTGAGTGCTTCAGGTTTACAGACCCTTTCGTATTATAACAGCTGTAAGCAGAAGGGGAGTGCTTGCAAAACGAACTATTCACAGTGTCCAAAACCAACAGCAGTGAATCAAACCGAAAGACACTGCAAGTCAGCCAAACATCTGCTGCACACGTAGGTTTAACGATGTTCAGTGTGCTCCTTCAAAACACCCCTCCACCCACCCCCCTTGAGTAAAAGTCATGGTCACAATCTATCTATGCGCGTGGCACCATCGCTGTTAACACTGAAGTTGGCCTTGGGCAACGCTAAAATGTGAAAGTAAAGCACCGTGGGAGTAAACCCTCACTGCAGAGGTGCCGTTCTCTCAGAACTCAGATGGGAGAGTTCACTTGGCATTAGGCACCACTCAGATGACCCCTAAGTTGCCTATATACTTCTGCTTTTCATGAATGCTGAGCTTTTTATCTCAAGACTCTTTGGACAAAACCATGCCTTATTTTCTTTAGTTTATAGAGTACAGAAATAGGATTATAACTATACTTGCAGTATTGGCAGCAGACTGACACTTATAATAAAGTAAAAGCTTCAGATCATCTTTGGGTAAACATCCATTAAAATCTAACATTCGATTCAAGCACAAACCTACAAATTCCCCCACTAAAAAGGCTATTATTAAACAGTAATGCCTACAATACTGCCACAGGATATTTATTCTAAAAAATACAATTAAGTTACAAGAACTATGAAACAGCACATAAGTTAACCTAAAAATCGATGCTCGTATTTTTAAACTGCTGACAGGCAGAAGCCATCACACAGGATCAGAGCAGTGATCAGCTGCTCCAAAGAACTTTAAATATGTATTTCTACATATTCGTAAGAGACGTAAATAAAAAAATCCCAAACAAACCCATAAAAAACACTGTAAGAAAAATTTAAGTATTTTTAATGTGAAAGACAACTCACTAATTACAACCATGATCCTAATGATACATAAGACAGAGGCCTCATTCTCTGCAAAGAAAAAAACTCACAGCCTCTCTAAAATAAAGCTTCCAGTTACACTCTTGTTAGAGTGGAGCAAGGCTAAAACTGATCAAAAGCAGGTTTATTTCAGGAACTGGAAACTTAAGGAAAGAAACAAATGTAAGAAAATATTTTCCAGTGGCATACATAGATATTTTGGACAAAAATGGTATGTTCTTTCTTAACTAAACAGGTGTTTTCACTATTTCTTGGCAACCTATCAGCAAGTATCTCTGTATAAGTCTGCTCAGACTTTGAACATCCCTTCCTAAGCAAGTACAAACACTGATCATTCCAACATACTGCACAAGTCCTCAGGAGCTGACTGAAAGAATAAAAAAATGACATACTTGGAGAATTCTTTACCTTCCTTGTAATAGGTACACACAAGAAATTTCTGAATTAGGAACCCAGATAGGTAAAGAAAGACAACTTACTACCTTGAACAGTCCAAGACAGCCACCAAACACGGACTGGACTGTAACTTCAAACTGCTATGCACCGTCTGCTTCAGCGCAACACTAGGCAATATTACTGACCAAACATCGCTCCCATAATGAACCTAATTGAATAAGCTTGTGTTATAAAGCTCAAATAACAGTGCTTTCCTGGCTTAAAATCTCATCATCAAAAAATTTCACCAAGATGCATAAAGGCTGTCTTCTGACTATGCTTATTGTAGATGTGATCCTCTTATCTATTCACACTCAAAAAAGTTAGAAGAATTGTTATATCCTCTTTGTTATCCCAAGAGGGCACTGACTAACAAATTATATGTTAGAAATTTCTGGAGACAGATAGCTGTTGAAACATACTGTGTAATAGCTTTTTCTTAAATCTGCAATAACATGAGCTACAATTTGGATTGGGTCGGTTCCTTCTTTCAGCCAGCTGTAGGGCATGAAATCAACACTAATAAGAACAGGAAACTTAAAAAGACAGATGAGACAAGAATCTCATAATAAAGTACATAGAATTAGTTGCGTAGTTCACTGTTTAATATAAAACTTACACTGCTAAGGAAAGCTGAACAGGAGCTTCTGTGAAGAAAGCTAATAAGCTTTGCCAAGCACATAACAAACTTTCTTTTAGAGAAGCCACATAAAAATCAGGAAGTCATGAGCTCTTTGTTTTCAAGAACAACAGTGTAATTGCCAAAGACCGACCAGATCAGAACGAAGCACTGTTATATTTCACTACTAGGTTCATCCCATCAAGCCAGATCTCCTTCACATTGATTAAAAAAAATGAAGGGAAGAAGATGAAAAGTTGTACAGCTTCTGTGATTTAGGGGAGAGTTATTGCCAAAACTATTAATTTGACTGCAAGCTCTAGTAGGGGGATAACTGCTCCAAGAGAAAGCTGTAGCTTGTCAACACCTTACTAAACTCTACTCCAAATTCCCTCAAAACACTGTGAAACTTAGATTTTACAGCCAAACACATCATACTTTAAAGATACAACCAACAACTTAGTCTTATTTCTTAAGCAACCCTGTCCTAGAACAGACATTCCCATGAAATGGTCCATTCCTCAGGTGCTTACAGGAGGAAGGAACTTTTAAACTACCACCCTTACAACTGAAGACCATTTAATTCATGACCTTATTTTAAAAAAAAAAAAAACAAACTCCACAACTGAAAGCATATCCCTCATACACACTTTTTGCCTTAGAAAATGATCCTGTGCAAGTGTAATTTCACAAAGACTGGGGCTCTTAATGATGAAGTGGTAGGCGCATACAGGTTTACAGATTGCATCACCTAGTTAAACTACCATTGTAGGGAGCTTCAAGCTAGTTTCCTACACCTCAGGTGCTGCCCTATTCACTAGTCTATTGGCAACCCCACGAGACGAGGGCAGATGACTTTCTATTAAAAACTTCCAAAATAATTCCTGTCCAGCACTAGTCATGATCTCCTCATAAGAAAATCAGCTTTGGACATTCTGAAGATATGGTTATATACTGGGTAAAAACCAAAGAGTTACTTCTGAAGGGAGAAAAACTGATCCAAAGAGGAGAAAATAAGTGGTGTCTTTCAGAAAACAGGAATTCCAAGGGAAGGGTTAACACATGAAAATACATCAGAAGCAGATGTAAGAAGAGTTCATTCTTTAGTGAGGAATACTGACTGTACAATGTTACACAGATATCAGTCAGTGTAAGGCACCATGACCTCTAAGGAAGCCCAAAAATCAAACCGTTCTTTGGACCAGCCTACTCTAAAGCCCAAGTTGTACAATTTCTTTGTCTAGATGAATCCTATACCAATGAGATGTAGTACTGCCCTTTACTAAAGGAGGCAACACAGACCATACCATACCGTGCCTTACACCCAAACACAGGTCTGAAACTCTTGAGTTTGCACCTGCAGAACTCACTGTAGACCTGGAAAGCTCTCTATGCACACCAACTCTCAACCAGTCTGTATGACTGGGAGGCAGAGCTCATTAGCTGGGAACAGCTTCCAGAACTTAAGTACTGTTTGTGAGGAACGAACCCTGCCGTAGCTGACGTACTCGCGTTGGCTCAGAACAAGCTGGTATCTATAACGTGGCACTGAACAATCTGGTATGGCCATCACCGTAAGGGATTACTAAAGCACTAACTTACAAATACCTAGAAATATCAGTAATCAGCATGGCTTCTGTGTACGTAGGAAGAAGCATTAAGGCGGTATGGGATGCATGCACACATTTACACTTCAAAGTTACCAAGCTAGTTCTCTGGCTTCATGTTCCCCCTTCAATCGTACCAATTCAGGCAGTACCTTACAGTCCAGTACCTCCAGTACTTCCAGTCCTTGCTGGACTGTCATAATAATGACATTATAAATTTATGTTTGTAACAAGTGAAGATCTTCAAACCCAGAAACAGTTTTAAAGCATAAATGCCAACAAAAGAGACTGGTCCAACAGAAGACAGCTGATTCAGTAGTGAATTAAGACAGGAATAAGAAAAGAAAAACATTTTCTGTATAAAAAGAACTGAGATGACTTCCTTCATTAGCTACTTACACTTTTTTTGAGATTTCTGTTCAAATATGAAGTGAAACTAGTGCAAGTTAACATCAAAAATACAACTGTATCTCAACAAATTATTCTATCTGGTTATTGATAACCTATTTCCTAATAAATTACCTCCCTTTTTCAAATTCCTAGTTTTCCAAACTAGAAGTACCATCCTATGTCTCTTCAGGTGAGCCTTACTATCACAACAGGAACACATCGCCTTAAAACAACCAGAGAACTGGTCTACCATAAAGTCTGAGTAATCAAATGTTTTGAGGTTTTGGTAATATTAAAAAAACTGAAGTGCTTTTGTGAGAGGGAAGCCTCATCATACTAGTTAATTAGATAAAACTCCCAGGAGTCCATTACAACTATGGGTCTACTGACAACTATGCAATTAACAACAGTAATACACAAACCAGTTCTTAAGGCAACTGATTTTGCTTGAAGAGGAATCTGATGCAGATGTAGGGACTGTTTTCTGGGACCAAAACTTCTAGTTTCATCTTTGTCATCAGATGGGCTTAATTCACAACCTCACAGAACAATTTATCAGCTTTCCAAAATGTTTGCAGTTGTAAGAACTTCAGTAAACAAACAGACTTTCTATGTGAAATCTAGTTTATTCTCCTCTCATCAAGTAATGCTTTATTCTGAGCTCATAACAGAGAGCATAACTTAGCCACTAATTATAAGCAAGTTTTCCAGCTAAACCTGACTATTGGAGTCATCTAGACTACTAAACCATGAATAATTAGCAAATTTACACATTGAAATTTAAGGCTATTTCATCACAAAATGTAATTCCACAAAATGAATTTATTTTGTCCATATAAAACACAGCTTGATTTTTTTCTCCCCCAACATTCTGGCATCCTAAAATAAACCATAATCTCAAGAGTTGCCAAACAGACTATTGTCCAGAAACAGAATTTCAAAACAGCCTTCTAGTGCAGAATGTGAAATGAGATGAATCAGCCGTCTCTTTTGTGGGATTTGAGCTATTAAATCTCTACGGAGTCTTGGATATGGAAGTAAGCATAATGCAGAGTGTATGGAAATCTATTTTTAAATTACCATCTATCACTCATTAATTATTCAGACATAAATATTCACTACAGATGACATTAGTTCAGCTGGAATAGGGTCACCTATAGCCCATTTCAGCGCTCATAATTAGAAACCTGGTGAATAATGGGCATAGAGAAAGCTCACAAGCATTCTTTCTACCAGCAGCCCCTAAGGCATCTACAGAGAAACACTAGTACTTGTTTAGCAGAAGGGGTGTAGGACGAGGGGTTACAGAGGTGAGATGCACCTAAGTGCAATGGGTGCTCTCGAGTTACACAAACTGTGCAAGTATAACAAAGTTGCATATCTCTTGCATAAGATAAATTAATTTAGCATTGTATGATTAAAAGTTACTTCAGTCTTGACATTTGCACTTTGATCCAAGGAGAACCATTCAGAAAAAGACTGTTTAAAGAATTAATTTGACTTTACATATTTGAAATGTCTGTGGAGTACATATGACATTTACTGTACCTACGCTGAACACAGTAAGAACTGAGCACAGGATGGCTTTTGAAACCAACAATTAACCTTACTTTGTTACTCATATAGAGAATTAAATAATTAATGAGTTTCCAGCAGATCTGCTTACAGAATTCTAATTTATGTAGATGAACAGCATTTTTAGACTGTTTATCATGAAAGGCAATTTTAAAAGAAAGCATTGCAATCAGCTATGGCTGGGTATAGCGCATTTCCTGTCACACGCACCCTGTTGCTCATCAAGTGACATGGATCCAAGCTGTTTGTTAACCACAGAAGAAGGAGAATCTGAAACAAAAATGAGATTTCAACTTAAAACATAAGCAGCAGAGAACTGCACAGCAATGTCACGATCATATGTTAGTTTAAAATAAAAAATTAAAAGCAGCAACATAAGGAAGCTTTGGGTTCGTTTTATGAGCAGCCAGCCATATCGCATTTTCTAGGCATGACAGAAGCAAAGCCAATTGTTTCAAATCATTACGTAGTTCTTCAGGTAGTCATTGAACAGCCTGAAGCTTGCCGATATTAAAAATGCCTGTCCATTACCAAAGATTTTACTACGTTCTTCAAATTTCTAACATGTCAGGAAAAACACTGATGAGTCATGACTCCTAAAGCCTTTGCTCCGACTACCAAATGACACTAGTATTTCAAACCATGTATTTCAAACTAGTATTTCAAAACATGTAGATTTCAGAATATTTACACTTGAACATAAAATACTCAGTGGCGTACCAGTATCTTCAATATTTGTACCTATGAGCATAAAATATAAAAAAATGAGACTGTTTACAGATTTAACAGCATATAGACTGGTTTTTGAAACATTAAAGCACCAAAATACATCTAACTCATATGGCAGTTGGATAGTTCTACATTCCTAGGTGCTACACCTCTGTGGCGTCTGATGATTGAGAATATGTCTTTATGAGTTTATCACAGTATCGCACCAGTCAGTCTTATAAAAATCCTCATCTAATCAGGGGGGGGGGGGGGAATTAAAAAAATCAACCCCTCCCCAGCAGTTAAGTGCATTTTTTTTTTCACTGGACATTACCAGTTAAAAACTATCACCAGCACTGCATCCGTTGTGCAGACAAATGACAGATGTTCAGTATCTTCATAGAACGGTTTGGGTTGGAAGGGACCTTAAAGACCATCTAGTTCCAACCCCCCTGCCATGGGCAGGGACACCTTCCACTAGACCAGGTTGCTCAAAGCCTCATCCAGCCTGGCCTTGAACACTTCCAGGGATGGGGCATCCACAGCTTCTCTGGGAAACCTGTTCCAGTGCCTCACCACCCTCTCCGTGAAGAATTTCTTCCTGATATCTAATCTAAACCTCCCCACTTTCAATTTAAACCCGTTACCCCTTGTCCTGTCACTACATTTTCCTTGTCACCTCTGAAGACCAGATCTTACTTCTGTATCATCTCAAGATGAGCTGATACACATAAATTACTACCGTATTTCAAAGACATTGGCTAGATTGCCATATCTTGGTTCCATTTGTCAATCTTCTATTATAGCTAAGCTAAAAGGATTTAATATCCTGTATTAAAAACTGAGTCATAGTCTGCCAACACCACTGCATGCTAAAGGAATTTTAACATAAATTCAAATCCTACACAAGGAAAGCTTCTCCAACAGGAAGCTCAGCTCCAGCTTTGGGCCAGAATCACCAGCATGACCTATTTTGTAGTACAGACATAAAACCTGCTAAATTGACAAAGCTGATTCAAATATACATCCTCAAATGATACTTCATTCCCAGCCGTTGGCATGAGAATCACAGCCCGTTCCTTCGTTACACTGATACCCAGCGTAAGGGAGGGCAGAAGACTGAAGAACAGAGACCGGGAGAGCCTGAGGCAAACTCAGCGTGTTTTGGAGGCTGGCTTGTTTTGGTAATTGGGCTTATACATTTCATTTCTGTAAGTGGAGAACACAAATTTGGTCCTGTTTCGTCTTCACCTTTGCTCAGCCATGCCCATGCCTTTCACCCAACGCATCTAAGCCAGACCACAGCATTTGTCATCCATATTTAGATGGGATATAGCTCTTGAGATCTGTAGCATTAACATACTTCACTTTCCAAAACTGAAGTGTGCTTTACATATCATTTCTAATTTAGAAGAAATGTATTTAGAATGGAATTCTTTCAATGGAGTACCAATCCAATTTTTAGAATGTAAATCAGAACAAAAAGCTGGTGTAAAGATGCACCATGTCATAAGACAATCTACTTGCATTCCAGTTGACTCAGCACAGGAATCCATACACCTCTCCCAAGGGCAGGCCAGCTTTGACCATTGACTCAGCTGTGAAGCCTGTGATTGGGATAAACTTGTATCAGAAGGGCTAGAGGGAAGGGAGGTCTTGGACAGCAAGCTGAGAAGCCTAAGGACAGAAGACAGTAATTCTCAGTCCCATTCTGTTCTTGCACTCCAATTCCTTTCTATAACCTTTCAAAAGGTGTATCACGCTGCCAAACTTTTTACTTGCCTGGAAAAGCTAATCTCACCACCTCCTTAATTCAGACCAAGATGAACAGAAGGAAGATGACTGAACTGACAAATTTTAATTATAAACATAAGGAATTACCTTTACTACCCTTATCAGCACTTCTAAATTTTATTAAGACCTCACGCTGTACAACAGGAAGTAAAAAGTGGGTATGTTTTACCATGGGTACCATTCAATCACAGTAAGCAAAACCGAAAAATTTGCTAGGTAACAGTCCGTTACCAATGTAGGCTTAGAACTCCCACATTTCACTATTATTCTGATGTCTTCTTACAACTTTGTATTTCACTTGTAATACGAGAATTTTGAAACAACATATAGGAAGCATCCTAAATATTCCAATTAAAATTTTTAAGGAAAGAGGTCAGTTTGTAGCAATTTTAAACTCACTTTTTTTTCTTTCCCTTTCTGAAGTCCCCTGAAGCCACAGATCCAGCACCTCTTGAAGTGGTACTGCAGTCTGGAACCCCACACATCAGGTAGGGAAATAAAGATGACCATGAAACCAGCCTAGAGAAGTTCAGGTAAATGCCTCTTTTTTTAATATATGGCTTTGTTTTGTAAAAATTCTGGAAAAGTATCATTTCTGATAAAGCTTTTGAAAAAAGTATTACCAAAACTGTGCCATATAGTTAAAAAAACAAACAAAAATCCAGACGCTTACCTGAGCCTTCACAGGCTGGGTCTACATCCCAGTGCAGTTCACCACTGGCTATAATGTCACCAGTACATTCTAAACTGGAACATCACTTAAAGAGGGAACTGGAGATTCATAAATTTGGGAAACCTCAAAAGAAAATAGAAGATAATTTTAAAGTCAGTTATATGCTGAAGGATCTTCCTATAGTTTGGGCAATCGGCACCTGACTTCATGAAAATATTAGCATGCTATCTTTACTGTTTTGGTTTAAAAAACCTCAAATTCCTCCCTATATCACTGTAACACCAGCTCCAGTGCGAGAGTCAGTCAAGCAGTGAGACCTGTTTTTAAAGTCCTAAACATGGTACATAGAGTGGACTTTAATCCAACAAACTAAATACTTTTTTAACAACTAAGAATAATTGCTCTGCACAATGAATAAGCTCTGTTACGTATTTTGGACTTCAAATTGACACATTTCTACATCTGGGTGTTTACAGAGAATCTAATAATAAAAACTGCAGTTATCCTCTTGTTCTTTGCAGAAATCTGGACACAAAGGTCCAATTTGTTCTGCTTTAGAGACACTGACTGTATGTCAGTTTTGAAACAAGCAAAGTTTTTAAAAAAAAAAAAAAACAGAATCAAGTCAATGGGCATCACAGGTGGTGCAATACATCAGCATGCACATGTACAGATCATTATTCCACAATAAATGCAGTCTAAATCAAATTAATTTTTACTCAAAAAAGAAAGGTTCACATTACTTCATATTTTTGTGGCTAAGATTATGCAAGCTGACCTCTACAGGAACCCCTGATTCACACTCATCTATAATACAGATTTATTTTTTCATTTTTCACTTCCAGATCAGCTGGTTCATGTTTCTGTAACTTCTCAAACTGCATTTGATTCACTCAAAGCTCTCAAAGAGAGGAGTGATGTAGGTAGTGGCGATTATCAGCACTGGGCCGAGCAGCAATAACAACAGGCTAAAAAGGTTTACTTTGTAGTTTGCATATAGCACCTATATGCTGTTGTTTAAATACTGCAGAGGATCTAAATGTTATGAATTGTCAGAAAAGTAAAAAGGCATTGTTGGAGAAATTATATGATAAAGAAAAAACCAACATATTTCCCTAATTAAAGTGGCTACCAAAAATATCCGAATCTGTTCAATATGTAAGCAAAGGCTTGAAGACAAAACAGACCTGATACACGCGGCATAAACAGCTTCTAAGTCTCCGCCAAACTTACACAATACTTCTTAGAGGTATCCACTAAAACAAAGTCTTTTTACATCTGAGGATGAAGTATCTTTTTCCTCAATGTCAAATCAGCCCACTGTGAATCATGACTCAGTTAACTCGCTTTCACATTCTACAACAACATACATTTTTTACCACAATTTTCTAAATAGTGAAGGTTAGCTATTATGGATACAGCTTACAAATCCTCATGTAATTATTACAAGTCCTTAGACCAGGAGACAGAATAACTACCATACAGCCCAATTTTCTATTAAACCTGTAAAAGGTTTCAGCTCTTGACATTTTCTACTGGTGATTTCTACATGGCTGGAGCAAAAAATGTCTAGTCTACAGCTATAATTGAGCTTCTGTGATTACAAAGATAAGGATTATGAATGAAACAGAGGTCAGAAGAAATGGCCTGAGTCTCACAATGAATTCCCGTCAGAATGCAAGGATAAATGATACAAGTTTTGCCAGAGCAGGGATTGAAAATTGCAGCCCTGGGCCAGAGGCTATGATGCCATTTCACACAGCAGCAGCCACATTTTGGGGTGTAATTTTTTGTTTGAAAATTTACAACCCGCATGCGCCTGAAAACCGAACATCTGCCTCAAGACAGAGCAGCGAAGACAACCTTGCAGAAAAAGAAAAAAAAAAAAGATTGTCTCTGTATGGCAATTTATTATTAAGAAAAACCCCAAAACTAAGAACTCCTTTTTCTCCTACCGCATTTCTGAAACGTCAACTTACCCACAGGGTTGGAAAACAACTGTCTCTATGGAGAAGCAAGAGACCGAAAATCTACAGCTCTGATTTTCTAAAGGAATAGATTGTGGATACACATCTTCCAAAAATAAGTCTTGGGGGGGGTCAGAAAAATGGAACAAAAAGTAACTTGCATAAAAAGAAATGAGCAAATACAAAGAATATTTCCACATCCAGAGTGCAGAAATCTTAAAAAGTAAACAGACAATGCAAAGCTGACCTGGAACCCCCAGTCAAAAGAAGCTACTTGCATTTGCTCCCGCCGTAATTGGGAAAGGAGGAATACAGTGAAAGAAGCTGATGAAGCACACAGAAATTTCTTGTATTTATACATATGAGTAGAAAGGAAAAGGTACTGTAATATTTCTCAAGTTTCTTGAGGAATAATTGACCACACATATCAAATATTTAAATTAGAATTCTTCATTTTAAAATCTTCCACCGTCTGTAATGCTGAAGTAACACCAATCAGACCAGAGGAAGAAAAGAAAAAGCCCACCAATCTCCTGATGAGTTGGAGGTCAGGTAGCAAAACTCTTCTCCCTTCCTCTCCCAAGACATAAATGTTTCCACAGTGCTAAGTGAACCTGTCTTTCAAAGCAATTACTGAAGTAAAATGGTTAAATTTGCCAGTTCACATAATGATAGAATGGTTTGGTTTGGAAGGGACCTTAAAGACCATCCAGTTCCAACCCCCCTGCCATGGGCAGGGACACCTTCCACTAGACCACGTTGCTCAAAGCCTCATCCAGCCTGGCCTTGAACACTTCCAGGGATGGGGCATCCATAGCTTCTCTGGGCAGCCTGTTCCAGTGCTTCACCACCCTCTCCGGGAAGTACTTCTTCCTGACATCTAATTTAAACCCCCCCACTTTCAATTTAAACCCATTAAATTCATTGTCATCACAAGAAGAATGAGGTCAATATTTGAATACTAGTTTCCTCCAAGGCTATGTATGTGCTCTGTGGTTCCCTAGTGATCCCAAACAAGGTCCCATCCAACCTTCTCATCAGTTCCCTTAAAGTTCAAAGCATGTGGGAACTCAAACTCCAAGAGGCAGCGATGGGGGATCCAAGCTAACTCCAGTACATCTCTGACACCCAGTCAAAGCAATTACTCAGTGTCAGCGTGGATCCTACAGTATGTTGACCCACAAGCAAACTAGGAGTTAAAAAACACATTGTACCCTTAAAGGAACACTAAGAGATGGGTGAGGCAGTATCAAGTGAAACTCAGACCAACACATACTTAAGTGGTAGTAAAATATCCACAGATATACCTCCAAGTGAAAATTCTACAGATATGGTTGTAACCCAACTTTTTTTCCAACTTCGGTTAAATGGGGAACAGTTTAGTAAAAAACCTTTTTCTTTAGTCATTCTGAAAAGAAAATGGAAGATCAAGCTCCACTGACTGTAAGCATTAGCTATGTGTTTTCCTGTCAATACATATCATTGAGTTAACAAATTTTGATGTCCAGTTTGCTGAAAAAAAAAAAAACTTTGTAGCTTTTGGGTAGGGTTTTATTTTTTCCTGGCGGGAACTGCAGCCAGCTGCAAGAACACTGCTACCACTGGTTTTCTTGTCTCCTCCTACAGGTAACAGGTACCTGTGGCCACCATTCCTAGGATAAGCACCACAGCCCTCTGCGATTTACTGGCTTCCAAACATTCTGAAATCTCACTGAAGAATTTTCTAGCATAGGAAGTTATTAAAAATTCAACCATTACATATTTTAACCAGAGCAATAGCCACTGTTATATCAAATTGTTCTGTAAAGTAAATTAATAGATTGAACCATAGCAAGTCAAGCTGTGAATGTACGACAATCCTTGTAAGTAATTTAGCCACACCTCAACTGGCATAGAATTTATCCATAGAAGAAACATTGCTAGACATTACTCCTCAACACAAAATATGCTGATTTTTCACACAGCATGCAGCTCACTCATTTTTACATGAGGCTATGATAAAAGTCTTCTTCAAGTCTGTGCTTCAGGGTTTCCCTCTTGATTCATATGCATGCTTCTACCCTAACATACTCAAATATGTCTCTTTTTATAATAAACATCTTCTAGGCTTTCTTGTAATAATTTTTAATCCGAGTAAGACAAGAGAAAACGGATGGTGAAATGAAAAGCCCCTCTGTTCAAACAAGGGCAGTGTATCTGGGGACTTTGGATTCTAACAAGTATTTTCACTATACTTACTGTAAAACCATAGCATTTAAGAGTGCCAAAATTCTGTTTTACTGAACTATCCTCCTGATTTAGCATACATGATAAATCAAAGCCAAATCTTAAATGTTGCTATTGGAGACAATTAACAGCAAAATGCAATTTCAAGCTTTTAAGTACCTTAGACTATTCAGGACACCACAATTACTTGCTCAACTGCCCTAACAAGCATTGCGCATACCTGACACCATGCACCTTTCTCCATATCGTATCGTTTAGCTATATAATCCAAACATGTTAGTGAAGACTGT